GCTCCTTTGCGAGGGTCCTTCCCGGGGCGTGACTGACAGGTGCATCCCTCCCCAGGCTCGGCACCGTGCCGCGAGTCCTCGGCTCAGCCCGGGGCGCCCTCGCAGGGGGAGCAGGCCCGATCACCACAGCCCTGCGGCCCGTCGGAGGAGGGCAGGGCCCCCGGGGAGAGGCAGAGGCCCCACGCTGGCCGGGGACCGCCGTCGGTCATCAGCAGGCGCAGCCCCGGGCTGGCCGCCCAGCCGGACTCCGGCCCCAGGACCAGCCAGAGGAGCGTCCAGGTGTCGGTCACCCCGTCGTCCTCCCAGCTGTCCTCCTCCGGCTCGTCGTCCTCGTCCGGGGCGCTCGTCCCGCAGGCCTCCCGGTGCTCCCTGACCAAGGCCTGCCGCCAGCCGCCCGTCGTCTTCCTGCCCAAGCTGGTGTATGACATGGTCACGGCCACCGACAGCAGCGGCCTGCCCAAGGCCGCCTCGCTCCTGCCCTCCCACTCGGTCATGTGGGCCAGCTCCTTCCGCCCGCTGCTCAGCAAGACCATGACGTCCACGGAGCAGTCCCTCTACTACCGGCAGTGGACGGTGCCCCGGCCCAGCCACATGGACTACAGCAACCGCACCGAGGGCCGCGTGGACGGCTTCCACCCACGCCGGCTGCTGCTCAGCGGGCCCCCTCAGGTGGGTGCCGCCCTGCGGGGGCCTGGGCCCCGTGGGGGTTCTCGGGTCCGCGCCCACCGGGCCGGTGCGGGGGGGGCCGACACCCTCACAGCTCGCCATCCCCGCAGCAGACCCTACAGCGGGCGGCCGGGTGGAGGCCGAGACCTGCCTGCCTCACCCCCCCCCCCCCCCCCGACGGCCGGCCGACTTCCGTCCTCCGATCTCAGCGTCTCGCCTTGTGTGACGCGGGGGCCGGGGGGCTTCTCTCCGGGTGCTTCTCCGTCCGACTGTGACTCCGCTTTCCCCACCTTGTTTCGTTCGGTCCCGTGGCCAGTCCATGCCAGGTAGAAACACACACCAGCCCCCCTGCCCTGGGTTCTGTGCTGGAGGATTTTGGCCGCCTGTCCCCATCCCAGCCTCTCGCCCCACTGTGCTTTCCTAACAACGAAAGGCCATTTCACTTGTCAAAATGGCAGACATCTGCCAAGAGTCCGGAGCGTGTGAGGGAAGACCGGGTCGGGTCTTGGAAGGGCCTTTGTTGGAACCGTGCTGAGGTGCAAGGTGGGCTCTCGTCTGGGGTCAAGTTCGGCCTCGGGTCTCACCTGACACCCCGCGTGGGATCCGGCCTTCTCTGTGCCTTGGTGTCCTCACCTGAGAATGACGTCAGAAATGTGAGCACCGGGCGAGGGAATCCCCGCAGGGTGCCTGGGGCACGGCCTGACCGTGGAAAGCATGTGTCCTAGTTATTCCTGTCCCCATTAGTATTGCCACTGTCACAGTGCGAGACTTGCTACCTTCCAGCTCAGTGTATTAATTTCCTTATGATGACCCTGCCCCAAGAAATACAACCCCCCCCCCCAAATATGTGTAAGAACGTTCATTTTAGAATTGTTTGCAATAGTGAAAAAAAGCGACTGGAAACAATTTAAATTCCATTGGTCAAAGTTGGTTGAGTAAATTCGGGCACAACTGTGTCATGCAATTCAGCCTAGGAAGT